AAATAATTTTGCTCATTCATGAAATAACATACATACATATATACTGTATATTACTGGGCATAAGGTGCACTGATCCATAAGACACAATGGTTTACTTTATTTTAAACAATCAGATTTTTGCTTAACCCCTCTCATAAGATGCAAGGGTTATATTTTCAGGCCTCACAAATGAGAGTAAAATTTTTTTCACTAGTAGTTAATACATGCAGTGTTTTCATATCCTGTGAGCTCAGCAGTAAGCTTACTGGCCCATGCTGGGCAGATTCCTCTCACATGCCTACTGGCCTGCCATTGATCATTGAGGTTTAGGTAACTTTAAAAATAGGTTGGGTAAATATATGAGTGAGAAAGGTTGAATATGAGTAGAACTTCCCCAGCATGAGTCAGTAGGCCTGCTGCAGTGCTCCTCTTGTCCTATGTCATATAATAGGTGTAAGACCTACCCCTAGAAATGTGTCACTCATCAATCCATGGAAGAATGTGCTACAGTGCATACTGCCAGGCACATCATCTAAAGAGGACTAGAAGATGCAGACCAGCCAGACTATGGGAAATAAAAGAGGGGAGCCACGCCCTCTCCAGGGACAGAGGTTTTTTAGGGCCAGGAGGAAAAAAAGACTGGCAAGAAATGGCAGTAATCCTATACCAACTGAAAACACTTCTGGAGCAGAGGCATGGACATTGGCCTCTACTCCAGAACAACAGATATTAGAGCCAGCAGATAAAACCCCCCTAAATTCCACCAATAAAATGACATTTGTCTTCGCAAACATACAGGATTTAAAGCCGTCAAAAAACAACAAAATTCCTTACATCAAGGGACTGCTCACGGAGTTAAATGCAATGTTTGCAGCATTCACAGAGACCCACATAAAGGATCATTATGACAAAAAACTATGGATCCCAGGTTTTAAACTATTCCGATGTGACAGACTAAACAGGCAGCAAGGGGAGGATGGCCTGTATGTCACAGAGTCGTTCATTTGCACAGAACTACTAAATACCTCAAATAATGTAGTTGAAGTTTTGGCGGTAAATATTGAAAACCAAAACCTTGTCATTGTGGTAGTATACAAGCCTCCAGATGCAACTTTCCAGCAGTTCCAGAAGCAGCTTGAGAAAATTGACCACTGTCTGGAAAGTCTCCCAACTCCTGCACCAAACATTTTACTACTAGGAGATGTGAACTTGAGGCACCTAAAATGGAGGAGTATAGCAAACAGTGTTTTAGCAGAGATCAACCTGGGAGGCAGCTCAGATGAAAATTCACACACACACACACACACACATGAACTATTAAATCTCTGCACCAACTTCACCTTAAACTAACAGTGACAATCTGATATGTATATATAATATAACTGTATCAAAGACAATACACTCAGATCACAACATAATAGAGGTACAGACATGTATGCACAGGGCTCTTGAGCAGCAAAATGTGAGCAGTCATGAAGGTCTCTTCACAAAATTCAATTTCAATAACAAAAACATACAATGGGATCAAGTAAACCATGTCCTAAATGAAACAAGCTGGGAAGATATCCTAAACAACACGGATCTGAACGTTTGCCTTGAAAAAATGAATTCTGTGGTTTTTGAGTTCTGCTCAAGACATTCCATGAAGAAAAAGAAAGAGAAGATGTAAACTAGAAAGAGAGAGACGTTCCCTATACAGACGAAGGCGAAGACTCACAGAGCTGCTGAGTGGGGCCAATATATCTGAAATACGAAGAGAGGCACTAGTCAGTGAAATTGCAAATAATGAACTAAAGCTGAAGGAATCTTACAGGAGACAAGAATCACAGGAAGAACTAAAAGCCATAAAGGAAATTGAAAAAAAACAAAATACTTCTTCTCTTATGCCAAATCAAACTGAAAAACAACATCCAGTATTGGGTCCCTGCTTAGGTGGGATGGGACATACACAGATACTAAAGTCTTAATATGACTCAGTGTTCAGTGAGCCACTGCCCAGACTAAGGGTCACCAATCCAAATGAACGAAATGAAAGAAACCCAAAATTTGGTCATCTCAAAAATCTTGGATATTATTCTAACTCCACAAGACTTTGAAGAAGCAATAAATGACATGCCCATGCACTCTGTCCCAGGCTCAGACTCATGGAACTCCGTGTTCATCAAGAATTGCAAGAAGCCCCTATTGCGTGCCTTTAGCATTTTATGGAGAGGGAGCATGGACACAATGGACATCCCAACACTTTTAAAAAAACAGCGTACCCCCACCCCCAAAAAGGTGGCAGTTAAACAATTGCAAAGAACTACAGACTGATAGCACTAACATCCCATTAAAATCTTTGAGAGAGTTTAAAAGAAAGTTCCCAACCACCTAGATACTCATCGTTACACAACCCAGGGCAACAGGGGTTTAGGGGTCGCCCCTCCCCTGTCCCAGCTACGGGACCATAAAACAAGGCCCGGGGTGCGTAGGGGATAAAAAAATACAGTGTAATATACCAGACTTTGAAAAAGTTTTCGAAAGTGTGACCATGGTGTAATAGCACACAAAAGCTGAAAAAGGAAAATCCCCGGAAAAATTTGTGATGGATCTAAACCTTCCTTCAGATAGAACCAAAGAGAAATAGTAAAAAGTAAAGCTGAGGCACCCACAGAAAAAATGTTGTTCTACAAGGCACAGTACTGCTCCCATTCTATTTCTATCCTCATTTCTGACAAAAAACAAGTGTAACCCTAGCTCTGTGTCTTCCTTTGCGGATGACCCCCAGTTCCCAATGCAGTGACCTCCATCGAAGACCCCGCGAATTTTCAAGCGGACATAAACCAAAATTTTTCGAAGTGGCCACTCAAACAATATGATGTTAAAACGAGGAGAAAATTTCAATACTCAGATATGGGAAACTTGAAGAAATAAAAAAAGATCAGGGTATTGACTAATTCTAACCCTAAGTAGAACGGGGAAAAGAATGTGAAGGACCTGGGGTGATAAAGTCAGAGGGTCTCGCCTTTCCCCAAAATCCACAAACAGGTATCTACCTCATCGCTTTGGGGAAAAAGATGGTTGGATAATGAGAACTTTCAAAACTAGGGGCTCCAAACCCCGATGATTTCTTTTAAATTTTTTGTGCTCTCTAGGCTGGAAAATGCTGTACACTAATGCTTCCCCTTCAAAGGGTGGAAAAATTGCAGACCTGGAGAGGTACAAAAACTTTCACGCACAAAAGTACGTAAGGCACCTAAACTTGGGAACGGTTTTTTTTAAAGGGGCCCTTTATCTTATTCCTCAATGCGGGAAGGAAGATACTGATAAAACCTTGAAAGGCCCTGGAGGGATTGGCACCAAACCTGCACACGAAAATCACTCCCTATGAAAGCAAAAGACTTGGCAGGAGATGCAGCATTCCCCCGATGAAAAGCAGGGGTGCCACAAGTACATTGAGAGACAGCACAATAAGTGTTCGTGGCCCAAGACTGTTCAATTGCCTCCCAGTGTACATAAGGGGGATTACCAATAGACCCCTGGCTGTATTCAAGAAGGCACTGGACAGGCACCTAAATTCAGTACCTGACCAGCAGGCTGTGGTTCGTATGTCAGCTTGCATGCGGCCAGCAGTAACAGCCTGGTTGATCAGACCCTGATCCACCAAGAGGCCTGGTCTCAGACCTGGCTGCAGGCATGTTGACCCCTGAAACCCTCTCCAGATAAACTCCAGGTAGCATGGGCCAGTAGGCCTTTTGAAGTTAGGTAAGGAAAAATTGGATACCAGATTGGAGAGAGGAAGTATGCAGGAAGTGAATGTGTTCATATATGTATTTGGGAGTGGATGTGTCAGTAGATGGGTTTATGAAGGACAAGGGATGAAGGGAAAAAGGTGGATGGTTTATTGAGGTATTTGTGGAGACAAAGAACATTACCCATGGAGGTAAAGAAAGAAATGTAAGAGTTTATTGGTACCAACACTCTTTTATAGGTGTGAAACATGGGTTGTGAATGTTGCTGCGAGGAGAAGGCTGGAGGCAGTGCAGATGTTGTGTCTGACTGCAATGTGTGATATAAATATTATGCAAAGAATTTGTAATTTATGCATGTCATCTAACATGCCAGGAGCAAGGGGCTAGTAACCCCTTCCCCTGTATACATTACTAAAGTTAAAAAGAGAAACTTTTGTTTTTCTTTTTGGGCCACCCTGCCTCGGTGGGATATGGCTGGTTTGTTGAAAAAAGAAGAATTTGTAATTTGTAGATTAGGAGGTGTGGAGTTACTAAAAGTATTATCCAGAGGGCTGAGGAGGGGTTATTGAGGTGGTTTGGTCATTTAGAGAGGATGGAGCAAAATAGGATGACTTGGAAGGTGTATAAATCTGTTGTGGAGGGAAGGCAAAGGATGGATGGAGGGGGGGGGGGTAAAAGAAGTTTTGTGTGCAAGGGGCTTGGACATGCAGCAGGCATGCTTAAATATGTTAGATATGAGTAAGTGGAGATGGATGGTTTTTGGGACTTGCTGAGCTGTTGGAGTGTGAGCAGCGTAATATTTTGTGAAGGGATTCAGGGAAACTGGTTAGCCTGACTTGAGTCCTAGAGGTGGGAAGTACAATTCTTGCACTTTAATTGAAGGGTTTGGGATATTGGCTGTTTGGAGTGACATCTGAAGTGTCATATGTAGGTGCCTCTGCAAAGACAGTGATTATGTGTGAATGATGATGAAAGTGTTTCTTGTTTGGGTCACCCTGCCTTGGTGGGAGATTGCTGATGTGTTGAAAAAAATATATTATATATATCCCTCTCTCCTAGAGTTTTGATCACTGCCATTAGTAGTTTTGTTCTTTGTTGGGTTTTTATAAAAGGCAAAGTTTTTTTTTTTACTTTCTTTAAAGTGGTGAAATTTTACATTAGCATTTTCTAACTGCTATAAATAGCTTGGATGAAAAACAAAAATGATTTCATGTAACATGCAGGGTAATTTAATATTCTACATAAATTTGCTTTTTAATACTGTACTTAAAGTGTTTCTGGGATTCTCAGGAGCGCACTTTGGTCGGTCGACCAGATGCCGGAAGTGAACCAAACGACATTCAGCTTTCAGGAGTAGGAATTGAAACTCATCATAGTGTCTATTAATTGAGAATTCTGATCTCTTCATTGAACCGTATTCAAATGCCCGAACATGTGTAAATGGTTCCCAGGTATAGAATTTTTTTTTTGTTTAACTTCAAATCTTTACTTAGCCATTGTCATTTTCTCTTATTTGTGCTTATTACTGCTGCTGCTTATAAATAAAGATAATTTAAAATTCTAAAAATTCTTCACAAACCAGAATTAGGAGCATAAATTTGAAAATAATTTTAATTGTATAATTTATTTTAAAATCTAGTAACTATTGCTTTAGAAGTAGCATTGACGAAGTGCATGTTGATAGGTGACAGAGAAAGTGCAGCTACGACATGGAGACAGAATACTCTGGGGATTTAATTATTTCTTTCGTGTCAACTGCCCGAAAACTAGTTCAGGTAAGTTTTATCTTTGTCAGTTTAGTAAATAGTTTTTTGTATTTATAGATATTATTAATTATACAGTATTAGAAAATTATAAATTAGATTAACCTGAGTAATATAATTTTATTATATTTAGAAACTGCAAAAAATTTTCTTGTGGTGAATATACACATTTAGCTACTGATAAAAAATACATGTTTCAGGTGGTAATAATTCTGAGCCACAGACACCTGCTCAACCTATTGACTATAACTTTGCTCGGGAAGAACTTATGTTAAAGGAACTTAGCAATGATCCCATCCAGGCAGCTATACAAAACCTCGAACGTCAACATGAAGAAGATAAGCAAAGTATGTTGTTACTTGTAATCACTGATGGTATAATAAAATCTGTTATGTTTGTTATTATAAATCTGCTATTATAATTTTTGTTTTCAACAAGTCAGCCGTCTCCCACCGAGGCAGGGTGACCAAAAAAGAAAGAAAATCCCCAAAAAGTAAATACTTTCATCATCATTCAACACTTACACCTCACTCATACATAATCACTGTTTTTGCAGAGGTGCCAAGATACAACAGTTTAGAAGCATATATAAAGATATATAACATATCCCTCCAAACCGCCAATATCCCAAACCCCTCCATTAAACTGCAGGCATTGTACTTCCCATTTCCAGTACTCAAATCTGGCTATATAAAAATAACTGGTTTCCCTGAATCCCTTCACACTCCAACAGCTTGTCAGGTCCCAAAAACCATTCGCCTCCATTCACTCCTATCTGACACGCCCGTGCACGCTTGCTGGAAGTCCAAGCCCCTCGCCCACTAAACCTCCCTTACACCGTCCCTCCAGCCTTTTTGAGGACGACCCATACCCCTCCTTCCTTCCCCTACAGATTTATATGCTCTCCATGTCATTCTACCTTGATCCATTCTCTCTAAATGACCAAACCACCTCAACAAACCCTCTTCAGCCCTCTGAATAATACTTTTATTAACTCCACACCTATCAAATGTTACAAAGAAACAGCCAGTAAAGAGAAGAAAGTCCATTTAGCATGTGATAAGGCAGAGTTCATGAAATCAGAAGGGTAGCCAAGATGAGAGAATGAATTACAAAAAGTGGAAATTTCTGATTCAAGGAATTGAGGGGTCACAGCTGTGGAGGGCATGGAGAAAGATAGAAATAAGAACACTTTTTGTTTCACAAACTCTGCCTTATCACATGCTAAATGGCCTTTCTGCTCTCCCAAACTCTCTACTCCTATGAAAGCCCCTGTTCTCTGCCTTCCCTGTATTTCCACTCTTTCTAATCTCAACAACTCTTTCCATTCCTTAGACAATAAACTTACTATTTGCCAAACTAACACCTTTTGCAGTAATCTAGTTCATACCTCTCCTCTTGTTCCTTTGCCCTCTCCAATACTCTTTGAGTTTGTCAGAAAGAGAGACTGGCCACTCTCTTTCTGACAGACTCAAAGAACACAAAAGAAGTGTTAGTCTTACTGACACCAGTAATGCTCTTTATTGTCATGTTAGAGATCACAGGCATCCCATTGACTGGTCCTCTTTTAAAACTGTCTACCCTACTTTTAGCTTTCACAGTCACCATCTTATTGAAGTTTTCCCTATACACAACTTTCTTTGTATGAATCTTAGTTCTGGCTTTGTCTTTGTAGATGCCTTCCTTTCTCATTACATTGTCAAATGCTCCAAACTTCAGAACACTTGTGACTTAACCTGATACTTTCTTCTCCTCCTTTCCCTACTCTTCTCCTTTAATATTTTTTCCTTTTCTTTCTTTGTTTTTCTTTCTTCTGCCTAAATGTGTTCTGTAACGGCCCCCTTATGGGCCCTTAACTCTCATGCAGTGCTCCTTTATCTTGTCCGCAGACTGATCCCACGTCTTCCCCTTCATTCCTCTACTATTGCTGCTACTTTTACTATTCCCTCCTTCACTCTTCACTCCCGTTTCTCTCATGTGCCACTAAATTACACGCTTCACTCCCGTTTCTCTCATGTGCCACTAAATTACTCTCCTATTTTATACTACCACAATTTCTTCTACTGCTACTCTCACTACCTAACTTATCACTACCACTACTTCCTCTTCTCCCTCTCTTACTGGCTTCCTCACTCTTTTCTGTTAGTGTGACTTTATAAATTGTCTAAGTCCGACTGAAACGTCGTCAAAAGCTCCTCTCTCCAATGTGCGGGTTATTTGTATATTGTAACCAAGAATATCAGATGTATTCTTTGGTGTTTGATGATCTCATGGAAGTAGTTTGCTTTAGAATGGTATACCATAAAAGTTGATAAATTCTCTCGGTCTTACATTAAATCAGTGCAAGAACACGGTCTAAGAAGGCAGGTAAAATTTGCATGGTGATGAGAACACTTGTTTATGATTCTGAACTGAGCAGGACTGTGAGTGGCTCAAACATGCAAAATAATAAGCATAATTCACTTCATACAATGATTGACTTTTTGGTTCTCAGTGAGTGGAGAGCTTCTCACTGTCTTGTGGTCCTCTAGTAATAAACCATTCAGTTGATTTAATGTGCAGTTATCTCTACACCTATAACAACAAAGTGGATCTTGAATTTCAGAATCTACTCAGGTAAAAATTGTTGTTTATGCCCTTGTGACTTGGAAAGGCTCATGTACTCTTTACTTGACAAGAAGCCAAAGATTTTCAGTGTTGCCCTGACTAATGACTAAGTGGTAATTTTTTTTTTTTTTTCAACAAGTTGGCCGTCTCCCACCGAGGCAGGGTGACCCAAAAAAGAAAGAAAATCCCCAAAAAGAAAATGCTTTCATCATCATTCAACATTTTTACCACACTTACACACAATCACTGTTTTTGCAGAGGTGCTCAGAATACAACAGTTTAGAAGCATATATGTATAAAGATACACAACATATTCCTCCAAACTGCCAATATCCCAAACCCCTCCTTTAAAGTGCAGGCATTGTACTTTCCATTTCCAGGACTCAAGTCCAACTATATGAAAATAACCGGTTTCCCTGAATCCCTTCACTAAATATTACCCTGCTCACACTCCAACAGATCGTCAGGTCCCAAGTACCATTCGTCTCCATTCACTCCTATCTAACACGCTCATGCACGCTTGCTGGAAGTCCAAGCCCCTCACCCACAAAACCTCCTTTACCCTCTCTCTTCAACCCTTTCGAGGACGACCCCTACCTCGCCTTCCTTCCCCTATAGATTTATATGCTTTCCTTGTCATTCTACTTTGATCCATTCTCTCTAAATGACCAAACCACCTCAACAACCCCTCTTCTGCCCTCTGACTAATACTTTTATTAACTCCACACCTTTCCTAATTTCCACACTCCGAATTTTCTGCATAATATTTACACCACACATTGCCCTTAGACAGGACATCTCCACTGCCTCCAGCCGTCTCCTCGCTGCTGCATTTACCACCCAAGCTTCACACCCATATAAGAGTGTTGGTACTACTATACTTTCATACATTCCCTTCTTTGCCTCCATAGACAACGTTTTTTGACTCCACATATACCTCAATGCACCACTCACCTTTTTTCCCTCATCAGTTCTATGATTAACCTCATCCTTCATAAATCCATCCGCCGACACGTCAACCCCCAAGTATCTGAAAACATTTACTTCTTCCATACTCCTCCTCTCCAGTTTGATATCCAATTTTTCTTTATCTAAATCATTTGATACCCTCATCACCTTACTCTTTTCTATGTTCACTTTCAACTTTCTACCTTTACACACATTCCCAAACTCATCCACTAACCTTTGCAATTTTTCTTTAGAATCTCCCATAAGCACAGTATCATCAGCAAAAAGTAACTGTGTTAATTCGCATTTTGAATTTGATTCCCCATAATTTAATCCCACCCCTCTCCCGAACACCCTAACATTTACTTCTTTTACAACCCCATCTATAAATATATTAAACAACCATGGTGACATTACACATCCCTGTCTAAGACCTACTTTTACCGGGAAGTAGTCTCCCTCTCTTCTACACACCCTAACCTGAGCCTCACTATCCTCATAAAAACTCTTTACAGCATTTAGTAAGTTACCACCTATTCCATATAAGTGGTAATTATTGTTATGTTATCCATGCCAGTTTAACTTTATTAAGGTGTCTCTAACTTTTATCATACTTTTAAACAGCATAAAATTGTAGATTTAATATGCAGGACTGTAGAATGCTGTTGTAATACTGAAACATCCAACTTTAATTAATCTAGCAAAACATATGTACTCTACCTTAAATCTTTCATTGTTTCAGTGGCTTTGGAAAAGCAGCGTCAAGAATATGAGAAACAATTTCAACAACTCCGAAATATTTTATCTCCAACTACTCCTTATGCTCCTTATATGCCCTTTGATCCATTAAGGGGTACAAAAATGACTCCCTCTACTCCGACATCACAACTTCGAATAGAGAAGTGGGCACAGGAAAGGTATGTTTATTAAAATTTGTACTAGAGAATTTAACATTTTTAGATGGGGTTGTAAAAGAGGTAAAGGCTTGTGTGTTGGGGAGAGGGGTGGGATTAAATTATGGGGAATCAAATACAAAATAGGAGTTAACATAGTTACTTTTTGCTGATGATACTGTACTTTTGGGGGATTCTAAAGAAAAGTTTAAAGGTTAGTGGACGAGTTTGGAAGGGTGTGTAAAGGTAGAAAGTTGAAAGTGAACATAGATAAGAGTAAGGTGATGAGGGGTATCGAACGATTTAGGTAAAGAAAAAATTGGAGGGAAGGAGTATGGAAGAAGTGAACGTTTTCAGATACGTATTTGGGAGTTGACTTATCAGAGGATGGGTGTATGAAGGATGAGGTTAACCATAGAATTGATGAAGGAAAAAAAGTGAGTGGTGCTTTGAGGTATTTGTGGAGACAAAAAAAACATTATCCATGGAGGCAAAGAAGGGAATGTACAAGAGTATAGTGGTACCAGTTCTCTTATGTGGGTGTGAAGCATGGGTTGTAAATGTTGCAGTGAGAGGCAGCTGGAGGCATTGGAGATGTTATGTCTAAGGGCAATGTGTGGTGTAAATATTATGCAGAAAATTCATAGTGTGGAAAGTAAGAGGAGGTGTAGAGTTACTAAAAGTATTAGTCAGAGAGCTGAGAGGGGCTGTTGAGGTGGTTTGGTCATTTAGAGAGAATGGAACAAAGTAGAATGACTTAGAGAGCATATAAATCTGTAGGGGAAGAAGGCGGGGTAGGGGTCATCCTTGAAAAGGTTGGAGGGAGGGGGTAAAGGAGGTTTTATGGGTGAGGGGCTTAGATTTCTAGCAAGCATGCATGAGCGTGTTAGATAGGAGTGAGTGGAGATGAATGGTTTCTGGGACCTGATGAGCTGTTGGAGTGTGAGCAGGGTAATATTTTGTAAAGGGATTCAGAAAATCCAGTTAGCCGGACTTGGCTCTTGGAAATGGGAAGTACAGTGCCTGCACTTTTTAAAGGAGGGGTTTGGGATATTGGCAGTTTGGAGTGATATCTAAACTATCGTATCTGAGTGCCTCTGCAAAGACAGTGATTATGTGTAAATGATGGTGAAAGTGTTTCTCTTTTGGGTTACCCTGCCTTGGTAAGAGATGGCCGACATGTTTAATAAAATAGGAGGGCCCTACTTTACAGCACTTCGCTAATACAATGGTTTTCATTTGTCCTCGGTACTTGAAGGACATGTAGGACTGTGATCACTATAAGTAAGTAAATAAGTTTATTCAGGTATACACAAATACAGTTACATAGATTATCATACATTGCAGCATATGTGTAGAGAACCTAGGATAACCCAAAAAAGTCAGACTGAAAAAATTCTGCACTTTCAGCACCAAGCAAGAGCCTCCTTTTTTCTTGGAGCATAAATGGTAAGCTTACTGGTAGTAAGTGTCCTGCTGCTTTTTTCAAGAACGCAGCACTAACATCAGTAAAACTGGCATCTATTTGCAGAGAACATGACAGTGCATCATCGTAAGTAGTCATTACAGGAGCACTAAGAATATTATCACTTTGCATACAGGCTGTGTAAAGCAGTGTCATATTACATGTCAACCTACACAAAAATTTAAAGTATTTGTAGAGTACAGTTGCATACATAGATATATAACTGGCACACTGGGTCATGAAAAGCAAATAACCCTGCCACATACAACTGTGGTATCTAGTGCATCAGTGAAATTATTCATAAGAGGAAACCCTTCAGCATTAGTTATCAAATATCCTTTGCGGCAGTCATTGAACATGCTAAGTGTGTCATCATGTGTGAGATCCTTGGGCAATGTCTACTGACTCTCGCTGAGTACAGGGAAAACAGAAAAAACTTCACATCTCTCTCTCCATACACATCTCTTCCCTCAACAAGCATCTGTAATGCAAAACATACTGAATGTGCTCAGGTACATTTACCTCATGGGGATTCATGCCCACTTTTCTAACCACAAAAAACTCATTTACAAAGTTCCATGGTAGCTGAGCCAACGCTCCAAGCTTATCCACGTCAGCATCAAAAGTAACATTTTCGAAGTCTTGTACAGACAGCTGAGAAAAGTAACAACATGCAGTTTCCTGATTGGGTGTGTGGGCTTTATTTTCATCAGAGACCTCATCCACCAACAGTTGAAATGTACAACTAATCATAGCATTCCTAGGAGCCAGCTCCAGTACCAACACCACCTCTCTAGCCTCCAGAGCATGTAGCACCACCTCATGGTCCCACATCACCCTAGGCAGACTCGCAGGCTGGTTCACTAGTGCCTCCCACCGCATCTTAGCCAAACAGTCTCTGAAACTGAGAAAAAGCACTGAGGGGTAAGCATCACAATCCTCACCTAGCCCATGACTTAATGATTCCAGAGTACTTCACCACACGGTAATGAAAAGGAGGGGAATACTCTCATCCCAGTCCTTCTGGTACTGGGGAAAACAAACATCCATTGTCCTGAGAGACTGGTAAAACCACTCTACTGTACACTCAGAGTGATAGGGAAATTTAACCTTAAGTAAATCTCTCAAAACTACATGACAATTTATAAAATATGACCTCTGGTTGGCTTGTTGAAAGCCTAGCTGACAAAATTTTACCAGAAATCTCAAAACCACACACACAAAATTATTAGAAAGGGACAGGAACTCTGGTAACCTGGTAAAAAGATAAGTGATTGGTAAATATTTATTATCCAGCTCTCCCTTCTCAATACTGAAATATTCTCCAGTAGGAATCTGTAAAAAATTCAGAACCTTATCCTCGAATGGCTCTAACATGACTGCATGGTCATATATTCTGGAAAAGAAACATGTGTTAAATTTGGGAACCACTTCCTCTGCAACAGATGGCAACTGAATAGCCTTCAGGGAGTCACCACATCCCTGGACCTCAACCAGCTGCTTCAGAGTCAGGGTATTCTCCCCCATGCCAGCACCAAGACCCCCCCCCCCCCCGAAACCGGGTTTGACCTGGGCCAGTTCATCACTGTCCAAAGTCTCCTGGCTCCCCAGGCCCAAATCATCACCACAGTCAGGAGAAAGTTCAAAGCGAGACACAGAAGTTCTTCCCTTGCTAACCTGGCTAGACATAGTACACATTGAAAATTTTTCAGTCACAGCAGTATTAGTTTTCACCTCAACACCTTTTAAATCAGGGTCCCTCCAAACCAAACATTCCTCACTTTTGAGAAGATCCATAATATTGTTGCCTAGTAGTAGGTCAACACCTGGAAAAGGTAAATCATCTGTAATACCTACAGGCAGGTACCCAGACTGGTAAACAGACTCCATCCACAATCTGTGTACACAAAGCAAAGCACATAGGTACATGAAATTATTAATAGTATTTGCACAGAAAATTATTATTACTAAATAACTCCCTAAATCACTAAATGTGCACACAAAAATCAGGCAGAAAAATTATTACACCTGAAAAAAATTTAATACATGTACTAATAATCCTTCCTTTAACCCTTTGACTGTTTTGGTCGTATATATACGTCTTACGAGCCACCATTTTTGACGTATATACTCATAAATTCTAGCAGCTTCAAATCAAGCAGGAGAAAGCTGGTAGGCCCACATGTGAGAGAATGGGTCTGTGTGGTCAGTGTGCACCATATAAAAAGAAATCCTGCAGCATGAAGTGCATAATGAGAAAAAAAAACTTCAACTTTTTTTTAATTGAAATGCCGAATTTGTGGTCTATTTTTGTATAGTATTTATGGTTGTATTCTCGTTTTCTTGGTCTCATTTGATAGAATGGAAAACATATTATAGAAATAGAGATAATTTTGATTGGTTTTACTATGAAAAGAATCTTGAAATGGAGCTCAAAGTAGGGGAAATGTTTGATTTTTACCGGTTCAGAAGTAAACAAATGATGTCATTGTCCAATAAATGTCCAAGTAGCCATTCTAATATGCAGTCATGAATGGGTTGACATTATTTATACAATTATTACAATACTGCAGTAGTCTGCATAGCAGTAAATCTTCTATTTTTTGTTGGAATAAAAATTCAAAATAGAAAGCAAGAATAATATCAGAGGGGCCTGGAGATGTAACTGATGAACAAAGAAAATGTTATTTTAGAGCCAGGAATGTCTGCATTGTTCATTCTGGACCCTATTTTGAAATTGTCATATTTTTTTAATTTTCGTAAAATTGGCCAAATTACAAATTTCTGACCACGTTATTGGGTAGTTGAAATCGGTAAATGGGCAGTTTCTTGTACTCATTCGATAGAAAAATGGATCTCTAAACAAATAGCTGTGAGTTTGGTCAACTGGAACAATGGAATTAGCCGAAAATAGGGCTCAAAGTGGGCGAAATCGCTGATTCGTAAATATCGCTGAGGTTGCTAACTTTGCAGCCTCAGTTTTCCGTCAAATTTCGTTCTTTTGGTGTCATTACAATTGGGAAAAGTTTCTCTATCATTTTATAAGAAAGAATAATTTTTTTTTTTGGGGGGGGGGGGAATTTGTGACACCAGGAGACACCTCAGGATTTGGGGTTGTGACAGTCAAGGGGTTAAAGACTCTCCAGGTTTCAAATTTGAATTATCATTCTTAATGTGATAATTCTTCACTACAGGCCCCCATGTTACGAGTTTAATGTAGTAACTTAATTAAAATGTTCCTGGCTCCTGAAGGCTGCTTACACTGCTGTCTAGGGGCTATAAATTTGCTCTGAAAACACAGCGAACCTTGGGCCAGCATGTACTCATACATATTAACCCTTTGACTGTTTCAGGCCCCTCTCTGAAACTGTCATTCTATGTCGCCAAATATTCAAAAAAAAAAAATTATTTTTTCTTATAAAAATGTTAAGATTATTTTTCTGAGTGTTTTAGTCCAAAAAAAAAATTTTTGCCATCGGTACTTACCGAGTTTATAGAGCCGTGAAGTTTGCAGAAAATGAGCCGCGTATGGCAAACAGCGGCGACTGCCGCTCACCCG